TTTTACATTGTCTCAGTCCACTTCTGTAGGCTACACAATCATGGGGATGACTGCTGATCTGACAGTGGTCCAAAAGATGATCTTTGACAAATTGCACAAGAGAGCAAGACACAAATGTCATTGCTAAAGAGGTTGGGTGAGCACAGAGCTCCTGTGTCCAAGCATATTCATAGAGATGTGAAGGCAAGGAAAAGATGTGGTAGAAAAACAAATGGACAATCAACAGGATAACCACATCCTGGAAAGGATTGTGAAACAACACCCATTCAAAAATGTGGGGAAGATTCACAAAGAGCAGGCTGAAACGCCGCTTACTCCACCTCTAGTGCCGGAGTACGGCATTAGAGCCGGAGTAAGCAGCGTTAGAGCCCTGAGTGAACGTCCGTCCAAGCGCTTGAGAAGGGAGCGGTAGAGAACGGCTGGCCGAAATTAGCTTTCCTAAATCGGATCAACTTCGAGCTAAACGCTGCTTGCGGAGCGCCAATATCTAATATCCAACTTGAAGCTAACTTCCCTGCGGTATCAACGCATGCACCATCTGATCTCCAAATTATGCCCCACCTCTTCCGTGACAACTCTCACAGACAAAAATGAGTCTCTCACGCAGACAAATACAAGTCTCATCCCCATTCATTCATTCATTCATTCATTCATTCATTCATTCAGCCTACTGTTAGTTCACACACACACACACACACACGCGCACATATATTTTCGAGTTATCATTCAGAATAGTATGTCTGTATGCTTTGTGTGTATGTGTGTGATATTTTAAGAATGTATATGTGCAATTTTCGTATTTTGTGTGCGTGTATGAGTCTTTAGTATGGAAGCCCATTTCCGCCATGACAGAAAAAATAAAATACCAACAGGAAGTCAAAATTATAACTTTCAAAGTCATAATTTCGACTTTCAAAGTATGACTTTGAAAGTCGAAATTATGACTTCCTGTTGGTCTTTTATTTTTTCTTTCATGGCGGAAATGGGCTTCCATACTTTAGTCATGTGTGTGAGGCAAAATATAGTTTTTGTCCTAAATGGCCCTTTATATAAACCACCAGTGGCTGCCATTGACACGCTACTATAGGAGCGTGTCAATAACATGCTCCAACATAAGTTGCAATATCTGAGGCATTATGACTTGTGACAAAATGTGACATTTTGGGCTGGCCTTTTCTTGTCCCCAGTACAAGGATTGTCCAGTTGTTGGTCATTTTGTCTGATGACCCACTAGACATGCCCCACCCATGCACTGAGTAAAAAAAAACAACTCACTGAGTAATGCTCACTGACAGCAAGTTGGATTAAAAATTATACACAAATCAAGAAAAAATATAACTTTTGTACAATAAAATGTCAGCAAATGCTCATTTACAGTTGTCAACTGTAAATGTGGTGCTTATATTTTTGTTCAGTATAAGTAAGTTGAACTACTATTCTTATGTTTTGTTTACATATATTTGTACAGTGTACTTAGGACTTTGTTGTATAAACTTAATTGTGTCAAGTTAAATTAACTTAGTTTAGTAAAGCTGATTCAACTTAGAAATAGCAAGTAAATTATCCTCTTCTTAACTCAACTACATCAAGTTAGTCCAACTTACATTAACAGTACAGTTTACTTAGCAGAATCTAGGAAACCGATTGCCTTAAATAAATTAAGTAATCACAAAAAAGATTTTAAGTTCATAAGATTCAATGTTTTATTTTAACAAAATAATGTACTTAGCATAACATAACAGTCAATAACCCCACAGGAACCTGGATAAAGTCTGCCATGGCATCTGAAGCCTGTGGATAATAAGAAAAGTACAAATTAAAAAAAACAGAATGCGGAGAAAGTTTTGATTTTCTTGTGTACAACCCATGACAAACAGAATAGCAATGCATACAAGATACATTGTAGAACTCTT